CCACCGAGCTGGACAAGCGCCTGGCTCAGATGACGGCCAGCACCACCGACTTGTCCAACGCCAATGCCAAGTTGCAAGGCCAGGTGCAAGCCCTCACCGGACGCCGTGGCGACGCTCAAGGCCGCCCAGGGCGATACCGCCAAGCGCGACGCCGAGATCAAGGACCTGGTCGCCGACGTTGCCGCGCTAAAAAAGCAGGGTAACCCAAGCGCCGCCATTGCCCGCCTTGAGCAGGACCTGGTGGTGCTCAAGAGTGCGCAGGAGACTCAGCCACTCAACAGTGATGCGCCCACCAACAAGGAATTCGATGTGTTCCGCATCCAGACCACGCGCAATATCACTACCCTGCAAAGCCAGGTGCAGAACCTGCAGCGCCAGATCGCCGCACCGACGCAATAATCGCTTGAGGAAATGTCACCGTCCGGTGACATTTCCTATCCCCTTCGTTACATGCCCCCGCAAGGCCCTTGTTTAGACTCCGGTCATCCCACAAAAAACAATAAGGGCCGCCCCATGACCACCCAACCACTGCCCGCCAGCAGTTGGCTGAATGCACCTGCCCATCACGCTTGGCTCGCCGCCGAAGGCCAGCGCCTGCTGACATTCGCCAAAGCCTCGCGGCTGCCCGACGGCTTCGGCAACCTGGACGCCACCGGCCAGTTGCCCGCCGACGCTCACGCCGAAACCATGAACACCGCCCGCATGACCCACAGCTTCGCCATGGCCCATGCCATGGGCTTGCCCGGTTACGCCGAGCTGGTGGCTCATGGCGTTGCGGCCCTAAGCGGCCCGTTGCGGGACCCTGAACACGGCGGCTGGTTCGCCACGCCTCGTGCATTGGATGGCAACCGAGGTAAAGCCGCCTACCTGCACGCATTCGTGGCGCTGGCCGCCAGTTCTGCGGTGGTGGTCGGTGCGCCCGGCGCGCAGCAGTTGCTCACCGATGCTATCCATATCATCGACCAGTTTTTCTGGAGCGAAGAGGAGGGCGTGATGCTCGAATCCTTTGCCCAGGACTGGAGCGGGCTGGAGGCCTATCGCGGCGCCAACAGCAATATGCACGCTACCGAAGCCTTCCTCGCCCTGGCCGATGTCACCGGCGATACGCGCTGGCTGGACCGCGCGCTGCGGATCGTCGAGCGATTGATTCACCAGCATGCCGCCGGCAGCCAATTCATGGTGATCGAACACTTCGACGCCCATTGGCAACCCCTGCTGGCCTACAACGAAGACAACCCCGCCGATGGTTTCCGCCCCTATGGCATCACCCCCGGCCATGGTTTCGAATGGGCGCGGCTGATGCTGCACCTTGAGGCCGCGCGCCTGTATGCCGGGTTGCCCACCCCGCGTGGCTGCTGGGTGACGCTAAGGGCCTGTTCACCAGTGCCAGCGAATACGCCTGGTCTGTGGACGGTGCGCCGGGAATTGTCTACACCCTGGACTGGAACCATCGCCCGGTGGTGCGCGAGCGCCTGCACTGGACCCACGCTGAAGCCAGCGCCGCCGCCCAGGCCCTGCTCAAGCGCACCGGCGAGTTGCACTACGAAACCTGGTACCGGCGGATCTGGGAATTCTGCGACAGCCACTTTAGCGACCGCGTGCAGGGCAGTTGGCACCACGAGCTCAGCCCACATAACCAACCCAGCAGCAAGATTTGGGGCGGCAAGCCAGACCTGTACCATGCCTGGCAAGCGGTGGTGCTGCCTGCGCTGCCGCTGGCGCCCAGCATGACCAGCGCCTTGAGCGCCGGAAGCTATGTCACCAAGTGGTGACGTTTGTGCATCCCTTTGTTACCTGCGCCCCAAAAATCCATGTTTAAACTCCGTGCAGCGCAAGCCTAAGACTTGCATGCATAACAACAAAAAAAGGTACTCAGATGAACGCGATTAATCGCCTCGCCGTTGCTATTTCCGTTGCCTCGTTGTTCCCCTCAGTGCATTTGCCGCCGACTCCAAAGGTACGGTTGAAGTGGTGCATTGGTGGACCTCGGGTGGCGAAAAAGCGGCTGTGGATGTCCTGAAGGCCCAAGTTGAGAAAGACGGTTTCACCTGGAAAGACGGTGCCGTCGCCGGCGGTGGTGGCGCGACTGCCATGACCGTGCTCAAAAGCCGCGCCGTCGCCGGCAACCCACCGGGCGTAGCCCAGATCAAAGGCCCCGACATCCAGGAATGGGCGTCCACCGGCCTGCTCGACACCGACGTGCTCAAAGACGTCGCCAAAGAAGAAAAGTGGGATTCGCTGCTCGACAAAAAAGTATCCGATACCGTGAAGTACGAAGGTGACTATGTCGCCGTACCGGTCAATATCCACCGTGTGAACTGGCTGTGGATCAACCCGCAAGTCTTCAAGAAAGCCGGCATCACCAAGAACCCGACCACCCTCGAAGAATTCTACGCAGCGGGCGACAAGCTCAAGGCCGCGGGTTTCATTCCGCTCGCCCACGGTGGCCAGCCTTGGCAGGACAGCACCGTGTTCGAAGCCGTAGTCCTGTCGGTGATGGGCGCCGATGGCTACAAGAAAGCCCTGGTCGACCTGGATAACGCCGCGCTGACCGGCCCGGAAATGGTCAAGGCCCTGACTGAGCTGAAGAAAGTCGCGACCTACATGGATGTCGACGGCAAGGGCCAGGACTGGAACCTGGAAGCCGGCAAAGTCATCAACGGCAAGGCCGGTATGCAGATCATGGGTGACTGGGCCAAGTCCGAATGGACCGCCGCCAAGAAAGTCGCCGGCAAGGATTACGAGTGCGTAGCCTTCCCGGGTACCGACAAAGCCTTCACCTACAACATCGACTCCCTGGCGGTGTTCAAGCAGAAAGACAAAGGCACTGCGGCCGGTCAGCAGGACATTGCCAAAGTCGTGCTGGGTGAAAACTTCCAGAAAGTCTTCAGCATCAACAAGGGTTCGATCCCTGTTCGAACTGACATGCTCAATGAAATGGACAAGCTCGGCTTCGATTCCTGCGCCCAGACCGCGGCCAAGGACTTCCTGGCTGATGCCAAGACCGGCGGCCTGCAACCAAGCATGGCCCACAACATGGCCACCACCTTGGCTGTGCAAGGCGCGTTCTTCGATGTCGTGACCAACTACATCAACGACCCGAAAGCCGACCCGGCCGACACCGCCAAGAAACTCGGCGCTGCGATCAAGTCTGCCAAGTAGGAACTAGCTACAAGCTACAAGCTGCAAGCGGGCGCGGTATGTCTTGACGCTTGCCGCTTGTAGCTGCCTTCAGTCTTATTATTGGATTTCCCCATGAGTTCTGTTGCTGTGTTCAGCAAGGCCTCGCCGTTCGATGCATTGCAGCGCTGGCTACCTAAACTGGTGCTGGCGCCCAGCATGTTCATCGTGTTGGTCGGCTTCTATGGCTACATCCTTTGGACGTTTGTGCTGTCGTTCACCACGTCCACGTTCCTGCCCAACTATAAGTGGGCCGGTCTTGCCCAATACCAGCGTCTGTTCGACAACGACCGCTGGTGGGTGGCGAGCAAGAACTTGGCCGTGTTCGGTGGGATGTTCATCGGTATTACCCTGGTGATCGGCGTGCTGCTGGCGGTGTTCCTCGACCAGCGTATCCGTCGCGAAGGCTTTATCCGCACCATTTACCTGTACCCGATGGCGCTCTCGATGATCGTCACCGGTACGGCCTGGAAATGGCTGCTCAACCCAGGCATGGGCCTGGACAAACTCCTGCGTGACTGGGGCTGGGAAGGCTTCCGTCTGGATTGGCTGATCGACCCGGACCGCGTGGTCTACTGCCTGGTCATCGCCGCCGTGTGGCAAGCCTCCGGTTTCATCATGGCGATGTTCCTCGCCGGCCTGCGCGGTGTTGATCAGTCGATCATCCGTGCCGCCCAGATCGACGGTGCGAGCATGCCGCGTATTTATTGGAGCGTGGTGCTGCCGAGCCTGCGCCCAGTGTTCTTCAGTGCGGTGATGATCCTGGCGCACATTGCGATCAAGAGCTTCGACCTGGTGGCGGCCATGACCGCCGGCGGCCCGGGCTACTCGTCCGACCTGCCGGCGATGTTCATGTACTCGTTCACGTTCAGCCGTGGCCAGATGGGCATGGGCTCGGCCAGTGCCATCCTGATGCTCGGTGCGATCCTCGCGATCATCGTGCCGTACCTGTACTCCGAGCTGAGGACCAAGCGTCATGACTAGTCTCGCTGCCAAACCTTCCATCAGCCTGAGTCGCATCGCGATCTACGCGGTGCTGATCCTGGCGGTGTTGCTGTACCTGGTACCGCTGGTGGTGATGTTGCTGACCAGTTTCAAAACCCCCGAAGACATCAGCACCGGCAACCTGCTGAGCTGGCCCACCGTGGTCAGCGGTATCGGCTGGGTCAAGGCCTGGGCCACCGTGGATGGTTACTTCTGGAACTCGATCAAGATCACCGTGCCTGCGGTGCTGATTTCCACCGCCATCGGCGCGTTGAACGGTTACGTGCTGTCGATGTGGCGCTTCCGTGGTTCGCAGTTGTTCTTCGGCCTGTTGCTGTTCGGCTGCTTCCTGCCGTTCCAGACCGTGCTGCTGCCGGCGTCGTTCACCCTGGGCAAGATGGGCCTGGCCAGCACCACTACCGGTCTGGTGTTCGTGCATGTGGTCTATGGCCTGGCGTTCACCACACTGTTCTTCCGTAACTACTACGTCAGCATTCCGGATGCACTGGTGAAGGCAGCACGCCTAGACGGTGCGGGGTTCTTCACGATTTTCCGTAGGATCATTCTGCCGATGTCGACGCCGATCATCATGGTCTGCCTGATCTGGCAGTTCACTCAGATCTGGAACGACTTCCTGTTCGGTGTGGTGTTCTCCAGCGGCGACTCCCAGCCCATCACCGTGGCGCTGAACAACCTGGTCAACACCAGCACCGGGGCCAAGGAATATAACGTGGATATGGCGGCGGCGATGATCGCCGGGCTGCCGACCCTGCTGGTCTATGTGATCGCAGGCAAGTATTTCGTGCGCGGCCTCACGGCCGGCGCGGTCAAGGGGTAATCATGGCTACGCTCGAACTTCGCAATGTAAACAAGACCTATGGCCCCGGCCTGCCCGACACCTTGAAGAACATCGAACTGTCGATCAAGGAAGGCGAGTTTCTGATCCTGGTCGGCCCATCGGGTTGCGGTAAATCCACGCTGATGAACTGCATCGCGGGCCTGGAAACCATCACCGGTGGCGCGATCATGATCGGTGATCAGGACGTCAGCGGCATGAGCCCCAAGGATCGCGACATCGCCATGGTGTTCCAGTCCTACGCCCTGTACCCAACCATGAGCGTGCGCGAGAACATCGAGTTCGGCCTGAAAATCCGCAAGATGCCCCAGGCCGATATCGACGCCGAAGTGGCGCGCGTGGCCAAGCTGCTGCAGATCGAACATTTGCTCAACCGCAAGCCGGGCCAGCTTTCCGGCGGCCAGCAACAGCGCGTGGCCATGGGCCGTGCCCTGGCGCGTCGGCCGAAGATCTACCTGTTCGACGAACCGCTGTCCAACCTCGACGCCAAGCTGCGGGTTGAGATGCGCACCGAAATGAAGCTGATGCACCAGCGCCTCAAGACCACCACGGTCTACGTGACTCACGACCAGATCGAAGCGATGACCCTGGGCGACAAAGTGGCGGTGATGAAGGACGGCATCATCCAGCAATTCGGCACGCCGAAGGAAATTTACAACGACCCGGCTAACCTGTTTGTGGCAAGCTTTATCGGTTCACCACCGATGAACTTCGTTCCTATGCGTCTAAAACGCAAAGACGGGAAGTTGGTAGCGCTGCTCGACAGCGGTCAAGCCCGTTGCGAATTGCCACTGGGGATGAACGACGCCGGTCTGGAAGACCGCGATGTGATCCTGGGCCTGCGCCCGGAGCAAATCGTGCTGGCGGCAGGGGAGGGCAATGGCTCGTCGAGTATTCGCGCCGAAGTCCAGGTTACCGAGCCTACCGGCCCGGACACCCTGGTGTTCGTGCAGCTCAATGACACCAAAGTCTGCTGCCGCCTGGCACCGGATGTGGCACCGCAAGTGGGCGAGACCCTGACCCTGCAGTTCGACCCGGCCAAGGTGCTGCTGTTTGACGCCAACACTGGCGAGCGTTTGGGCACTGCCGCCGCGTTGCCTGCTCAGGTGCCTGCCGACAACGTGACCCAGTTCAAGGGCCGTTGATCGAGATAACTTGTTGTTTTGATTAAAAAAATGTAACCCACGTTAGATAAAAACAGTTTAATAACAATAAAGACGAGGATGTAGGGATGAAAAAGCAACACAACAACACTCGGCTGATCTGCCAACTGTCAGCAGCAGCAGCCCTGGTATTGTCCGCCAATGCGATGGCGGCCGATGCATTCAGCGCCGATTCCAAGTGGATGACCGGCGACTGGGGTGGCGAGCGTACTAAGCTGATCGAGCAAGGTATCGACATCAAGGCCGATTACGTCGGGGAAATGGGCTACAACGCCCGCGGTGGTTACAACAACGACAAGACCGGTCGCTACTCCGACCAGTTCGGTCTGGGTGTGGCGCTGGACCTGCAAAAACTGTGGGGCTGGGATAACACCCAGGCCAAGATCCAGTTGACCAATCGTAACGGCCAGAACATCTCCAACGACCGTATTGGCGACCCGCGTGCCGGCACGCTGAGTTCGTCCCAAGAAGTGTATGGCCGTGGCCATATGGTGCGTCTGACCCAGTTCTGGATCCAGCACCAGATGTTCGACAACAAGTTGGACGTGAAACTGGGCTACTTCGGTGAAGGCGAAGACTTCAACACCTTCCCATGCGACTTCCAGAACCTGTCGTTCTGCGGCTCCCAGGTCGGTAACTACGTCAACACCTGGTACAACTGGCCAGTCAGCCAGGCGGCTATCCGCGTCAAGTACAACATCACCCCTGAGCTGTATGCCCAGATCGGTGCCTACAACCAGAACCCGTCGCAGCTTGAACACGGCAACGGCTTCAAACTCAGCGGCAGTGGTACCAAAGGTACTGTGATCCCGGTGGAATTGGTCTGGTCGCCGAAAGTGAATAACCTGCCGGGCGAATACCGTGTGGGTTACTACAAGAGCGCCGCCGATGCTCCGGATGTGCGTAAAGACGTCAACGGTGGCGATGCGGTCCTCAGTGGTGCTGACTTCCGTACCCGCAGCAGCAAAAAGGCTACTGGTTCGTTGCGCAACAGCAACTCACCACCCATAACGGCGACGCGTCGCGCGGCCTGAACATCGCAGCCAACGCCACGTTCCACGACAAGGAAACCAACCTTGTCGACAACTATCAGTCGCTCATGCTGGTGTACAAAGGCCCATTCGATGCGCGTCCAAAAGACGACGTCGGTATTGGTGCCGCGCGCCTGCATGTCAACAATGACGTCAAGCGCAACTCGGAACTGCTCAATGCCGCTAACGGCGTCAGCGACTATGACAACCCGCTGTACACGCCGATTCGTGAAACCGAATACAACTTCGAACTCAACTACGGCTTCCACGTTACCAACTGGCTGACCGTACGTCCCAACCTGCAATACGTCGTGCAGCCTGGCGGCGTGGACAAAGTCGACAACGCGCTGGTAGCGGGTCTGAAAATTCAGTCTACGTTCTAACGCTGTTGCGATAAGCTCCTTCTCTCTGTGCGCATTTGCGGATAGCCATGGCTATCCGCTTTTTTTTGCGCAGCACTGTGATACAGGACCGTGGCACATGCATGAGCATCCGCTGCAACGCTTTTTCAAATCCCTGCGCGAACGTCCGGTGTTCGCCTGGGAACGCTTTCAGATGCGCGACGTGTTGGTGATCGATCATCCGCTGTGCCAGGCGGTATTCAGTCGCCAGGGCGCGCAACTGTTGCATTTTCAGCCGCGTGGTCAGAAGCCCTGGCTGTGGTGCGCGGCCAAGTGGCCGCAGGTCGGTGCCATTCGTGGCGGCGTGCCGGTGTGCTGGCCATGGTATGGCCGTCACCCAAGCGAAAACGCCTGGCCGTCCCATGGCTGGGCGCGCCTGATCGACTGGAAACTGCTCGATAGCTCCAGCGATGACGAAGGCGTGAACCTGCACTGGCAACTGCAACTGTGCGACTGGCAGGTGGACCTGCACGCGCACCTGGGGGCTACCTTGGAATTGCGCCTGAGCACCGAGCATCAGGACGAACTGCCGTGCCAGTTGAGCCATGCGTTGCACGCTTACTGGCGTATTGGTCACGTTGATGAGGTAGCGCTGTCTGGGCTCGAAGGCGCGCAAGGTTACGATCAGCTCAACCGCCAGATGTGCCAGCAGGAGGGCGAGTTGCGCGTAGAGGGCGGATGCCAGCGGGTGTTCCAGCACGAAGGCGAACTGCACCTCAAGGATCACGCCTGGCAGCGCGAACTGTGCATCGACACGGGCGAGAGTGCCGACACTGTGGTGTGGCATCCGGGCAGCCGACCGCTATTGGGCGTGAGTTTTAACGAGGCGTCGGGGTTTGTGTGTGTGGAGTCGGCGATGGCCGGGGCCAGTTTGGCGCCGGGGGAGCGGGCGCACCTGAGTTTGCAGGCTCGGGCTGGAGTCTAGCGTTGTTGCTTATGGCTTCATCGCGGGCAAGCCCGTTCCTACATTTGGAACGCATTGCCCTGTGGGAGCGGGCGCACCTGAGTTTGCAAGCTCGGGCTGGAGTTTAGCGTTGTTGCTTGTGGCCTCATCGGGGGCATGCCCGCTCCCACATTTGGAACGCATTGCCCTGTGGGAGCGGGCTTGCTCGCGATGGCGGCGGTACTGCTGGTAGAGATTCGAGCTTAGTTAAACTCATCCCCCACCGGATACCGGCTGTCATTCAGACTCTCTTTGATCTTGCGCAAGTGCGGCTGGAAATCCACCCCGCGACGCAATGTCATGCCGGTGGCCAGCACATCCAGCACGGTCAGTTGGATGATCCGCGACGTCATCGGCATGTAGATATCCGTGTCTTCCGGGAGTGGAATATTCAGGCTCACCGTACTGGCCTTGGCCAGCGGTGAGTTCTCGGCGGTCACGCCCAGCACGGAGGCGCCGTTACTGCGTGCGATACGCGCCACTTCCACCAGCTCGCGGGTACGCCCGGTGTAGGAAATGATCACGAACAGCTCACCGGTATGGGCCACCGAGGCGATCATGCGCTGCATCAGTACGTCGGCGTGGGCGGTGACCGCCAGGTTGAAACGGAAGAACTTATGCAGGGCGTCCATGGCCACCGGGGCCGAAGCACCGAGGCCGAAGAAGTGGATCTGCCGAGCCTGGATCAGCAGGTCCACGGCCTTGCTGATCAGGTTCGGGTCCAGGGCCTGGCAGGCGCTGTCCAAGGAGGCGATGGCACTGCCAAAGATCTTCTGCGTGTAGGCCTCCGGGTTATCATCGGCCTCCACGGCGCGGCTGACATAAGCCGCGCCACTGGCCAGGCTTTGCGCCAACTGCAATTTGAGTTCAGGGTAACCGCTCACGCCGAATGAACGGCAGAAACGGTTGACCGTCGGTTCACTGACCGAGGCGGCCTGGGCGAGGGCGGCGATCGAGAAGCGTGTGGCCTGCTGCGGGTTGAGCAGGATGACTTCAGCGACTTTGCGCTCTGCCTTGTTCAAGTCTTCGAGGCGGCTCTGGATCTGCTCCAGAAGATTTCGCACGCGGTCCATTCAGTCTTTCCTTCGGGCGACGATGCAAATTAAGGGCGGCAAGCAATCGACGAGCGGCCTTTTGCGGTGGCCTATCCTACTGAGGGTAGCTGAACACCACCACTCGCAATGCGTATTTCGGGAAAATGTTGTGGTTATTACTACATTTTTCCTTGAGTGATACCTTGAAAAAAGGTATTTGTAGCTTAACTTGATAAAAGAACAAACATCATGCCTTCGATAACCGTGGAACCCTGCACCTTTGCCCTGTTTGGCGCCTTGGGTGATCTGGCGCTACGCAAGTTATTTCCTGCCCTCTATCAGTTGGATGGTGCAGGTCTGTTGCACGAAGACACGCGCATCCTGGCTTTGGCCCGTGAAGCCGGCTCCGAGCAGCAGCATCTGGCCCATATCGAAAAAGAACTGCGTAAATACGTCGGCAAGGAACTGGACGACAGCATCGCCCAGCGTTTCCTGGCGCGTCTGACCTACGTCCATGTCGACTTTATGAAAGCCGACGACTACGTGGCCCTGGCTGAAAAAGCCGGCACCGAACAACGCCTGATCGCCTACTTCGCCACTCCGGCGGCGGTGTATGGCGCGATCTGCGAGAATTTGTCCAAGGTCGGCCTGGCGGACAACACCCGCGTGGTGCTGGAAAAACCCATCGGTTCGGACCTGGAGTCCTCGCGCAAGGTCAACGACGCCGTGGCGCAGTTTTTTCCCGGAAAACCGCACCTACCGCATCGACCATTACCTGGGCAAAGAGACCGTTCAAAACCTGATTGCGCTGCGTTTTGCCAACAGCCTGTTCGAGACCCAGTGGAACCAGCACTACATTTCCCACGTAGAAATTACCGTGGCGGAGCAAGTGGGCATTGAAGGTCGTTGGGGTTATTTCGACAAAGCCGGCCAGCTGCGGGACATGATCCAGAATCACCTGTTGCAGCTGCTTTGCCTGATCGCCATGGACCCACCGGCCGACCTGTCCGCCGACAGCATCCGTGACGAGAAGGTCAAGGTGCTCAAGGCCCTGGCGCCGATCAGCCCGGACGGCCTTACCACCCAAGTGGTGCGTGGCCAGTACATCGCCGGCTACAGCGCCGGCAAGCCGGTGCCGGGATACCTGGAAGAAGAAAACTCCAACACCCAGAGCGACACCGAAACCTTCGTCGCCTTGCGTGCCGATATCCGTAACTGGCGTTGGGCCGGTGTGCCGTTCTACCTGCGTACCGGCAAGCGCATGCCGCAAAAGCTGTCGCAGATCGTTATCCACTTCAAGGAACCGTCCCACTATATCTTCGCCCCCGAGCAGCGCCTGCAGATCAGCAACAAACTGATCATCCGCCTGCAACCGGACGAAGGGATTTCCTTGCGGGTAATGACCAAGGAGCAGGGCCTGGATAAAGGCATGCAACTGCGCAGCGGCCCGCTGCAACTGAATTTTTCCGACACCTACCGCAGTACGCGCATTCCGGATGCCTACGAGCGTTTGCTGTTGGAAGTGATGCGCGGCAATCAGAACCTGTTTGTTCGCAAAGATGAAATCGAAGCCGCGTGGAAGTGGTGTGACCAGTTGATCGCCGGTTGGAAAAAATCCGGTGATGCGCCCAAGCCGTATGCGGCGGGCTCCTGGGGGCCGATGAGCTCCATTGCACTGATCACGCGGGATGGGAGGTCATGGTATGGCGATATCTGAATTGAAACTGCCGCAGGGCGTCAGCGCCCATGAGTACCGTACGCCTGCGTTGCTGGCGGACGGTTTGGCTAACGATGTGGCCGAACAATTGCGCACGGCCATCAGCGCCCGTGGCGAAGCGACGCTGGTGGTGTCTGGTGGGCGCAGCCCGGTGGCGTTTTTCCAGAACCTGGCCAAGCAGGGCCTGGACTGGTCCAAGGTCACCATCACCCTCGCCGATGAGCGCTGGGTGCCGGTAGAGCATGCCGACAGCAATGCCGGCCTATTGAAGAAATATCTGCTGCAGGGCCCGGCCGCCAAGGCGCGGTTCCTCAGTTTGTACAGCGCCACCGCGAACCTGGAAGAGGCTGCCGAGCAGGCCGATCGCCTGCTGGCCGAACTGCCCGCCATCGATGTGCTGGTGCTGGGCATGGGCGATGACGGCCACACCGCGTCGTTGTTTCCAAACAGCCCGAACCTGAACGAAGCCCTGCAGCCCGACGGTACCCGCCGTTGCTGGCCCATGCTGGCGCCGACCGTGCCGCACCAGCGCCTGACCATGAGTCGCGCGTTGCTGGCCACGGCCCGCTACACCGTGCTGTCGATCTCCGGCAGTTCGAAATTGACCACTTTGAGCGCCGCGCTGGCCAGTGACGACGTCGCCGCCATGCCGATTCGCGCGTTTCTGCAACCTACTTTAGAGATTTACTGGTGCCCATGAGCCAAGGATCAGCCGCTATGAAAAGCCCTCAACCGACCGTGTCCATGGCGGATAAAGTTGCCTTGATCGACAGCCTCTGCGCCAAGGCGCGGATCCTGCCGGTGATCACCATCGCCCGCGAACAGGACATTCTGCCCCTGGCCGATGCCCTGGCGGCCGGCGGCCTGACGGCGCTGGAAGTGACCCTGCGTTCGGAGTTCGGCCTCAAGGCCATTCAGGTGCTGCGCGAGCAGCGCCCTGAACTGTGCACCGGCGCCGGCACCGTGTTGGATCGGCACATGCTGGAGGCCGCGGAAGTGGCCGGCTCGCAGTTTATCGTCACCCCGGGATTACCCGCGACTTGCTCGAAGCCTCGGTGCACAGCCCGATCCCGCTGTTGCCGGGTATCAGCAATGCGTCCGGCATCATGGAAGGCTATGGCCTGGGCTACCGTCGTTTCAAATTGTTCCCCGCTGAAGTCAGCGGTGGCGTAGCGGCAATCAAGGCCCTGGGCGGCCCGTTCGGCGAAGTGAAATTCTGCCCGACCGGCGGCGTCGGCCCGGCCAATATCAAAAGCTACATGGCGTTGAAAAACGTGATGTGCGTGGGCGGCAGCTGGATGCTCGACCCAGAGTGGGTCAAGAACGGCGACTGGGCACGCATCCAGGAAGTTACCGCCCAGGCCCTGGCGCTGTTGGATTGATCTGATTTACCGAATCGTTGTTGCTGTGCTTAACGGCATTTTTGCGGTGCACTTGGTCGGTGTACCGCTTTTTTTTGCCTGCAATAAAACTGCGCCTGCTTTTATAGAGGGCTGCGGTGCAGTTCGGTGATGGCATTGGCCAGATGATGGATGTCCGCCACCGAGGTGACCAACCCGGGGGTGATCCGGATACACGTCCCGAACGAGGCCCCGACACGGGTCGTGGTGAAGACGTTGTAGTCCTTGAGCAAACGGTCCGCCATCGCCTGCTGGTCCCGACCGCTGAATTTGAAAGCACTAATCCCGCAATACAGCCTCGGGTCATCCGGCGTCAGCACCTCGATCCCCGGCAATGACCGTACCTGGCTCACCCATGTATCCCGCAGGTAATTGACCCGCGCACCTTTGGCAGCCGCGCCACCCAGTGCGCGATGCTCATCCAATACCAGTGGCAAGGTCATCAGCGCCGGAAAATTCGGCGTGCTGTAGGACGTCCGCGCGCGTACATCGGTGATGGGGTAGTGGAACTCGCCCATGTCCGGGTCGATATCGGCCAGGCGCTCGGGGGCGATATACAGGAAGCCCAGGGTCAACGGTGCGCCGATCCATTTGTGCAGGTTGAACCCGGCGAACTGGATGCCCAGATCGGCCAAGTTGAAGTCGATCTGGCCAAGGGCGTGGGCACCGTCGAGGATCACGTCAACACCGTGCGTCCGTGCCGCCTGAGCAATGGCGGCCACTGGCATTACCAGCCCGGTGCGATGGGTAACGTGGGTCATGGCCATCAGCTTGAGACGCGGGTATTGGGCGAAGGCATCACGATAGGTCTGTAGCAGGCTGTCGAAACTGGCCGGATGGGCGTGGGACAGTTCGATAACCTCCACACCGCGATGCGCCGCCAGCCAGCGCATCGCGCCCTTGACCGTGTCGTACTCCAGATCGCTGATCAGCACTTGGTCACCCGGTTGCAGGCGGTTGTAGTTGCGGATCAGCGACTGCAAGGCTTCGGTGGCGTTGCGGGTGAATGCCACCGACTCGGGTTCCACCTCTATCAAGGCGGCGAGCTGGCGCCGGATCTCGATGTTTTCGCCCTGTTCGAAACGCTGGCGCACATACACCGCATTGCTGCGGTTGATAAACGCCACATGCTCCAGGTACTGGGCCTGCACCGCGCGGCTCATGCGGCCGAAGTAACCGTTCTCAAGATTGATAGGGCCTGGCTCGCAGTCATAGCGTTGAGCGATGGCTTGCCAATGCGCTTCGTTTTGGGCGTTGCTGGGCATGGGTGGGCTCTTAATGGCGTGGGGCAGGCTTGCCGTGTTTGGCGCGCAGCGGTTCGAGCAGTTCTGACAGACCGTTGTGGTCAATTTCCTGCATCAGCGCCAGCAGACCACCCAATTCGCCGTGGGGGAAACCTTCGCGAGCGAACCAGTTCAGGTAGGGGCCTGGCAAGTCGGCAATGATCCGCCCTTTGTATTTGCCGAAAGGCATTTCGCGGGTGATCAACAGTTCGAGCTTTTCCGGGTTCATGAACGTCAGACGGTTACGAGAGGAGCTTGGAAAATACAGGCATTCTGCATGAAGGCCAAATGACAGATCATGCAAATAACGTACATACAGATGGTTCAATATTTCGTAAATGATTGAATTTAAACAATAAAGTTATTTTTTAAAACCTGGCACGGGCGCTGCAATCATTAAGACAACCTTTCTCAACCCACATAAGGAATTGGAAAATGACTGACATCAACAAAGAATCGATCTCCGTACTTAAC